AGCAGGATCTGGTGCTGGGTGGAGCTGGCTTAAAAGCCGGTCCTCCAGCACTGTCTTTGTGAGGGGTAGGGGAGGTGGAGGCACAGCAGGAAATGGCGCATGTGGCTACTGAAGCAGTCTCTGCTTACACCAGTTCTGCTGTGATTCTGCTTCTGAAATGTTCAAGAGCCCTGCTGGGGAGTCCCCATGCTCCCTGCAGGGCTTCCTTTTGAAATGTACAAGAGCCCCACCATGGCTCTTGTACATTTCAAAGGCTCAGACACCAAAAGGAGGGTGCCTGCAAGGCTTCTGCTTTTCAACTGTAGCAAGAGCCAGGCAGGGCTCTTGTTACAATTCAAAGGTGGAGATGCCCTTATCAACTAATCAAATAGTCGAAGGGGGTCCCATTAACTATTCGATTAGTTAATCTAAATTTAACATCCCTAACTTGCATGTCACTTTAGTAAAACTGGGGGAAAGAAATACACAGATGGAAATGAGTGGAATCTGGCAACCCTGTGCATGGGCAACGGTAAACAAAATGTCTTGTGGGTCAAACAGAACCCTGAAGGGCCACAGGTTGCCCACTGTGGTAATTAGAGTTGGTTGTCGTGGATAGTTTGGGACCCAAACTTTCACCCAATGGTGCCAATAGAAATTATTTGCCAGTCTTTAGTGGTAGCAGAATCAAGTTCACGTGTGTGGATGTAGGCATATTGGCCCCCATTGGCTGTTTGCCTTTTAGAAAACACATAAGTATCCTTCAAGAGCTAACAGATATCTTCCTTTAGCTCACATGATGGAAACCTGGGTGTTTTGGAGTTGAAGTTATTGGCCTCCTTATCCAGCCTACAAGTTTCAGTATTTTATTATTAAGTGATTTGGATGAATTCCCCTGCTTTTAAATGCTTAAATTTAGTAAATGAGCTGATGAAAAAGTACATTGCTCTTACCTAGGAGCCAGAACTATTTTTTAAAATGAAACTTTTTGGTTTTAGTGTTATAATACTTTGAGGGTTATAATAATAAATATGTTAAATTAAGATCATCTACTGTTGTATACAGTATTTTTGTAGATATGCCAGTCCCAGGATATTAGCTTGAAAGGTTCTCTCTCTCACCAACAGAAGTTTGTCCTATTAAAGATATTACCTCACCCATGTTGTGTCTCTCATAAAATCGAGATGTACTTATTCAAAAGAATCATTCCCAAAAGTTTACCTACCTTCCAAATAGGAAAATAGACTTTAGACAGCTCATAATCATTAATGATATTAAGTTCATCATCAGAATAAAAAAAATTAAATAAGTCTATATAGGAATTAACTGAGTGACAAGAAGTCCTCGAGTAAATAAAATTTTACATAATATGAAACTATTACTTTAAAATATTCCGCAGAGGGTTTTTTTGGTTTTTTGGGGTTTTTTTTAAACAGACTATACCCTAAAATGCTTTATGTGACATAAAATATAAGATGGTGGATAATAGGGATGTGTTAATATACACATTTAAATGGTTAACCAATGAGCTTGGGCTCATCAGTTAACTTTCATGGTTGCTAGGGTTGCCAGGTGTCCCGTTTTGAACTAGACAGTCTGGTATTTGAGCTTTCTGTCCGGGAAACAAATTGAGTAAATACTGGACATGTAAATGACCTCTAATTAAGTTTTATTATTATGAGTATCAGTACGTAGTTATGTACTGTCTGTCTGGTGGACACGCTCACACTGCGAGAGCGTATGCACCAGCCAGGCAGTACGCAACTACACAGTAGAGAGGAGGAGGGCAGGGCAGGATGGAATCTCCGGGGCCAAACTCGCTCATGTTCCGCCGAAATACTGGACATGTAAATGACCTCTAATTAAGTTTTATTATTATGAGTATCAGTACGTAGTTATGTACTGTCTGTCTGGTGGACACGCTCACACTGCGAGAGCGTATGCACCAGCCAGGCAGTACGCAACTACACAGTAGAGAGGAGGAGGGCAGGGCAGGATGGAATCTCCGGGGCCAAACTCGCTCATGTTCCGCCGGTACTCTGCGTGGGACAGGCAGCACCCCGGGATCTGTGCGTGCCCGGGCCAGCCACGCTCCCTGCCAGCCGATTCCCT